ATAATAATTAAGTATTCTGTTAGAACTCAATGATTATCCTAATTATATTTTAGATTTTTTTATATTTAAAATGAGATGTTTATCCTGTATTTGATTGTGTTTATCTGTAGTTAGTTACACGAATTCAGATATAGGATGAAATCGAATATGGATGAAATCGTTTACGGATGAACGGGTTTAAGAGTTTTAAGTGTTTTTATGAGTTGTAGCCAAATGCTTTATAATATAGTATAGATTAATTTAAGTTTAATAATGAAATAATTTATTTTTGGTTCAATAATATAACGTTTTATAAAGATAATAATTAAGTATTCTGTTAGAACTCAATAATTATCCTAATTATATTTTAGATTTTTTATATTTAAAATGAGATGTTTATCCTGTATTTGATTGTGTTTATCTGCAGTTAATTACACGAATTCAGATATGGGATGAAATCGGATATGGATGAACGGATTTAAGAGTTTTTAAGAGTTTAAGAATTTTTAAGAATTTTAGCCAAATGCTTTATAATATAGTATAGATATATATATATAAGCACAAAACTTTATAGTAAGTATTAATTATATATGAATTAAAAAAGAAATATTTGAATTTAAAATAATATTTGCATGATAAAATAAGTAGCAATGTAAAGTAAAGTTGAAAAATGGGGTTGGAAGGGGATTTTAAGTTCCCAAGAAGACGACCCTTAAAATTGGGGCTATGCCGTTTGCCTTTTTCCTTTTTTCAATTTTAGCCCCCACAATTTACATTATTTTATAATATAGACCCTTCTACTTTCTTCACACAATATTCTATTTATGAATGCAATAAAGATTTCCAATCCATTAAAATAACTATAAATCATAATTGAAGTTCATTAATATATATTACATTAATTTTTTTATAAACAGAACCTGTTATACAAACTGAATAATCTCAGAACAATTAATTTCACATTAATTTTTCTTATTTAAAATTAATATTTAATGTGAACATATATTTGTTTCACAATGTATTTGATTTATATGTATGACTTTCACAGTGTGAACTTCTTTACATGTAACTTTTGCTTTACAAACAAGCTAAAAAGGTTCATGTTGTGAAACAAATATACGTTAATCGATATTTTAAATCCTAGTTTTAGATGAAAAAAATTATATCAAATAGCAATTTTATGGGTTCTCAAAAGAAGGTTCGCTTATATTAATCATACATAGGGTAAGGTTAAAAATGAAAAAAAGGTGGTCAATTTACGAGAAAGCAAAAAGTTTCAATAACATATGTGATTGTATACATGATACACATATTTAATTATATATGATTAAACACATGTTGCATTGACATCATATAACTTCACTGAGTCACCTGATTCTCCTTTGAGTGTATTTAATCATATATGATTAAGCGTATATATCATGTGTAATCATATATAATCTTGTAATTTCTCACATTTCAAATTGATTAATTTCTCGCATGATCCTTCCCCCCCCCCCCTTCTCTCTCTATATATATACATATATATATATATGGGGGGTTCACGTGAGACCAGTCCGTTTTTGTGAAACCCGTGATACTTTTTTTTACGTTTGAAACTTCACAGCAAAATGCTGTGAAGGTAAATAAGTTGAACCTTCACAGCAAAAACATTGTGAAGGTTACCTTCACAACGTTTTCCTATAAAATTTCAAGTATAAAAAAGTGGTCTCACATGTCTCACGAAAACAGACTGGTCTCATGTGATCCCAAGTCTATATATATGTAGGCCCATTCATTTGTTAACCAACACATATAGTGAAAACTTTGTTAACCAATCTGATCACATTAAAAATTTCAATCAACAAATTAGATTGAATTAGTGGCAACGTTGAAATATGCGTTATGAAACACACGTTCATTTTAGGAATCATAACTGAACAAAGGGTATTTTCATAAGTTACAGAAGAAGTTGGTTTAGGAAATGTCCGTTCATTTTGGGATATTCTTTATTCATACACACAAATGAACACATTTGTAAGAGGTTCACGTGAAATCAATCACATATGAATA